TTGGCCAGTTTCGCCAAGAGGTGATCATGGGATACGAGATCGAAGGCTTTTTTTAAGTCAAGATATATGACATCAATCTCTTCTCCCTTGTCCAGGTGATAGGTCACCTGGTCGTAAAAGGAAATGAGATTGGTCAAGCAAGACCTACCCACAACAAACCTGTGATGGCTATCCCTCAGGATGTTGGCGTCAGCCAGTCCATTAAGGATGGCCTCTTTAATAAACTTTTCTAAGACCTTCCTCGGGATAGAGGTCAGGCTGATGGGCCTGTAGTTTGCCGGATCCACTTTCCTCCCTTTCTTGAAGATAGGCACCACATTGGCCTTCTTCCAGTCTTTGGGCACTACACCAGAGCGCCAGGAGTTCTCAAAGATCCATGCCAGGGGCTGGGCTATGATGCTTGCCAGCTCCTTGAGTACCCTGGGGTGTAGATTGTCAGGGCCGGCTGACTTGAAGGTATCCAGCCTCTCAAGGTGTTCCTTCACGAGGTCAGCATTGATGGAGGGCAGGGGATCATCCTCACCTGGACCTGTAGTGGGCATGGGCGTCCCATAGGACTGATGAAAGACCAACGCAAAGTACCCATTTAATAGGTTGGCTTTTTCCTGGGTGTCAGTTGTCAGATGTCCCATCTAGTTTAGCAGGGGTCCAATGTTGTCTTTGCTTCTCCTCCGGCTCCCCGGACTTTTTGTTGTCCTTGATACTTGAAGCTAGTTGGAGTTCAGTTGCAGCCTTGACTACCTCAGTTTAGTACTGGCCTCTGTTGCTTTACTGTTCCATCCAGGAAGAGTACAGACCAACTGCAGACACTTTCTCTGCCTGACAAAGGGAATTTGTACCCAAAAGCTGCCAGATAAGAATTTTTCCAAGTATTTGAGTTAGTTTAATAAAAGATATTTGATTTACCCAAAGAACCTTATCTGCCTATGTCCTTAGACCGACACAGCTACAATCTACACCCCTGAAACACCATTATAAAAGCTTTGGCTGTAGAAAGACAGCCCCCAAGGGTGATGGGCACTCCCTGGAAGCAGATATCAGGGAGAAGCTGCTTACTTATCAAATTGTCACTCTGCCATCTCTGGCAGATATGGCTGTGTCAGCTGAACCTCCTACAGGACACAGCATGACGAATAGATCCAAGGAGGTGATACTTCCCCTCTATCGGGCGCTGGTCAGACCGCAGTTGGAGTACTGCGTGCAATTCTGGGCACCGCACTTCAAGAGGGATGCGGATAACTTGGAGAGGGTCCAGAGAAGGGCCACTCGTATGGTTAAGGGCTTGCAGGCCAAGCCCTACGAGGAGAGACTAGAGAAACTGGACCTTTTCAGCCTCCGCAAGAGAAGGATGAGAGGTGACCTTGTGGCTGCCTATAAATTCATCACGGGGGCACAGAAGGGAATTGGGGAGGTTTTATTCACCAAGGCACCCCCGGGGGTTATAAGAAATAACAGCCACAAGCTAGCAGAGAGCAGATTTAGACTAGACATTAGGAAGAACTTCTTCACAGTTCGAGTGGCCAAGGTCTGGAACGGGCTCCCAAGGGAGGTGGTGCTCTCCCCTACCCTGGGGGTCTTCAAGAGGAGGTTAGATAAACATCTAGCTGGGGTCATCTAGACCCAGCCCTCTTTCCTGCCTATGCAGGGGGTCGGACTCAACGATCTATTGAGGTCCCTTCTGACCCTAACATCTATGAATCTATGAATTTTTATTTCAGATTATTCAGTTAGTCCATAAAGTGCTTCTTCCAGATTAGTTATACCATCTACCCAAAGGACATGAGCTGAACCAACAAAATATCCTGTTGATATAGCTGCATCTTCACCATGGGCAAAGGCTGCTATTAACCCTTATCACACTGATAAAGTGTAGTGACATATTATCAAATAATGTTGTCAGTATATCAGAACTGGGCTAAAAATCTAGTTTGTGACTGAGTGGACTATGTCCATTTCAAACTGTGAACTCTACTTTGTATCATGTACTAAACATACCCAACCTTTTCATGAAAGTGTATTTTAATGCACTGAATTTTGTTTCTGGCTTAAGAAAGGTGCTTAAAACCTCTTTGGAAGATAACCACTTCAAAGACAGGAAAGGGGTAGAGGGAAATCTGTGACTATAAAACCAGAACCACATAGTAAGGTGATGAAGGAAACCTCACAGGAGGGATTAAACCCTCAAGGCTCTCTGACAGACTATTTTTCAAGTCCAATTATCATAATGGACAGCGATCTTCCATTTTATGGACAATGGGAAATAAAAATCTAAGTGAAGCAAAGAGCAACAACAACAATAAAGCATATGAGAGAAGTGATCCTGTGAAGTTCATGTTCTTTAACAACTGTTTAAAATGGATATTATTAAAATGGTATTCATCTTCCTTCTACTCAAAAGATTGGTTCCACTCACCTTTCCAAGGGCTGTCAGCAACTGAAAATCAATGGTTTGCCTATATCTCAGGATCCGGAGGATGCCATCCAAGTACACTTGATCCTTATTGAAACAGCCTGAAAGAATCAGATACCTAGTATTGTTTTCAAGCTCTTTCAAAGCAAGACATGTACCAAAAATAGTTATGCAGAAAATCACGGTATTTTCTTGCATACCACATGCTCCCAAATAAGACATACATCTTGTTTTTGGGAAGACAGAATGAAGGTTTTCCAGATGTATTGCTTCATAGAGCAGGGGCAGAGATTAATCTTCAGTTTGCTCATCCTTCTTTTTCTGCTTCAGAAAAAGCTACCATTTTAACCCTTTCACAGCTGATTTTGGCTGCTCAGGCAAAAGCTGAAACTGTAGCTGCTGTTGAAGACTGGACTCCACTGACAGATCTAGGATTTGAAGATCTAGAACTAAAAATAGTCTGCAGGGCTATGAAGTAGGAGAAAAAAGCCCAGGAGTAGCTAACATACAGCAAAAATACTGAAGAAAAGATAGCTTGATTAATAGATAGTCAGGACCATTAAAAAGGAGAGAAGATCGTTAACACCTATTGAAGGTAGGTTATAACGACCCATGAAGTTAATTGACTCCATCAGCACTGCCTGAGTACAAATGTCACTACTGCTGCTAGGCAGTTGTTTTTAAACTTTTGATTGGATTAGGAATCAAAGTGGGATTCAACAACTCCACTGTCTCCCTTCCCCCGATATGCCCCTGCCTCCATGCAGCTGCTGGAGAGAAGAAAAGGAAAAGAAACAGCAGCCATCTTACACTGTTTCCATGCTTTTCCTCTGGGCAGAAAATCATCTTCCTCTCTTAAGACCTGCACCCCAATTTTGGAAGGCTAATTTTTGGGAAAAAGTTGAGCATGGTACACAAGTAAATATAGTAATTTTATTTCCTAACATTATATATATTTATCCCACAGCTTGAAAACTTTTCCCCCCAACACCAAACAGATAGTTGAGTCAATGAGCCAAAGGGAGAACTGAAAGGAAGAGAATGTGGTCTCTGCCAGTAAAGTGCTGCAGCAGCACTCTGGTCGCAAGCTCAGTCCACAGGATGTTAAAGGCAGGCAAGTTGTGAACCTAAATTTATTTGTAGCGTCCCTCTTAATCCCTTTACTGTATAAATCAGAAATGTCTTCTCGACCTTTCTTTAAACACAATGCCTTTGTCTCTTCCTTTACAAACACAAAGGATTGAATTTTTCCACAAAGTTTACACTCTGCCAAAACTGGCTGCACTTACTTTGAAGACCACTTTGGACAAGAAAGATAGAATGGAACTGATTGCACAGAAAACCAACCTGGCTGGGATGTATCAGTCCACCCCCTCTTGGCTCGTACACAGTAATCCCACCTAGTGTTGGGGTCCTTTACAAATCTCCCCACATCCTGGAAGAGCTGACTGAAGGACATCTGGCTAGCTTGATAGACAGTATAGTAGAGAAGGGCAGCCCTCCACAGGAAAGGGTCCTTTCGGAACAGGACACTGTGAATACTCGCCAAACCTTCTTCAGTAGGATTGATTGGCTTCAAACCATGCTTTTTACGTCCATTCCAATTGCACCAAGGCTGGCTGTTGTTGTTCATGCCCCGAAAATAATGAGTTCCTAAAAAAGGAAAAAATCATGGCACTTTGAATGTTGACAACCAGTAGCACAATGGTAAAATAAGCCAAACTTACCCAAACTTTGGCTTTGCACTAACTTCAGGATTCTCACCTGTTGGGATAATGAGGGACTTGCAAAAGAGGTAACTTTGGAGCATTTATTCAGTAGTAAGTAAACTCGTGGCTCCAACCATGTAGTATGTCTTCCTGCTAACTGCTGGGGAGACTCTCAAAAGCAACTGAATGAAGGACTTGGGAAAGTAGGGCTGGAAAGGACTTAGGGAGGTCATCTAGTCCAGTCCCCTGTTCCAAGCAGGATCATTTCTTAAATCCCTGAGAGAGAGACTTGCAGAAGTACCTCAAACAACCAGTTTCTCTGGGACAGACAAAGCCTTACCGTGGATAAGAAATGGGGAGAATGGATAGAGAGGATTCAATGTGCATGAGTATCTCCCTTTGAGGCTGATGGTGAACTATACACTGAAGGCTTAGGGTATGGACTTTCAAACATTTCTCCATAAGATAAAAGGGGCAAGGCTTTACCTTGTCTCAGCCTGTGTGCATGTTTTTAACACTCAGTGGGTGTGCCTACATGTGTAGTTAATGTGCTGAAAGCGTACTGCACAGCAAAATACTGCGCAGTAAGCTTTCCCTGTGCATGTCTACAAATGTGCCCATCAGGAGAAAATCTGATCCCAGTGGGAGCAGTTCAGGGCAGGGATACTCCTGCCCTGCTCTGGTACTATATGGCAGCCAGAAGCTCTACACTCCCCCGAGTGCCAGCCCTGGGCTGCTGGGAAGACTGAGGTGAGGCCTGGGCTCCAAGGAGACGAGGGGAGCTGTCTCACCTCCGGGTTGCTGCCTCCCACCCCCATCCCTACCCCCGGCAGCTGCCTGTTGACCGACCCCTACTCTGATGGTGGAGCGGGGATGGGGACAATGTCCCCTTCCCCTGCAGGAGGCAGCTCCAGGGCCCAAATCCAGGATCGGAGCCAGGGATGGGACACTGCTCCCTACTCCAGGCAGATGCCTGCTGCTGGTACTGGCTCTGATCTCAGAGCCAGGGTGGGGACAACTTGCTCCTGATCAGCTATGTAATTGTGCACTACTGTGCAGTAGCTCCTGCACAGTTACATGGTGATATGCTTTGCTGCGCAGTACATTAGTCTACTGCATAGTAAAGTGTCTCATGTAGACACAACCAGCAAGTAGAAGCTAACTCATAGTAGCTTAGCTCTTTGGAGGATAAGTTATCATGGCTGGGCTTCCATTTAATAGCAAGGTAAAAGTTTGGATACACAGAGAGTTGCTGCAAAGCAGCTGACATGCAATAAGGCCCTGCCCCTTTTTACTGTGCAGTAAATTGTTCAGATATTCTTATTCTTAGGGGAGGTGGCTGCTGCTCTTTTACAACAGGGTAGATATAACATTAGTGCAGGACACCCAGAGCTAAAAATTTAAGGATTAACTTGTTCAAATCCCTTGGATTTCATCTGGTTTTGATATTCTAAATGCAGAAGCTCACTCAGAACCTAGAAAACCTTACAGAAATTTCCTGCTAACTTGGATCAAAAATAGGAGAGTCTTCCAGATTTACAGTTCTTTGGGAAAAATGTCCTATATCCATATATCTTAAAGTTATCTGCTGGGGTTTCTACCTTTACTACAGTCTACACACATTTCTTTAACACATCTACAGTGTAAGCTCTTTCAGGCAAGGGTCAAGCCTTGTAATGTACAGGGTCTAGTCTAGTATACTGAAAAACAAATAGTAAATAACAATGCGTATAGTCTCTGCTGTAGGCAGAATTAATAACATTTGTCCATACCTATTTCATGCCTCAGCATCCCTTCCAGCCAATGCTCACGTGCAGTGGAAACATTGATAGTCAGAGTTGGACGGCCATTGACTACCATCATTGAGGCCCGAGAAAGCAGGTCCTCCGTGAGGTGAACCACAATCTAAGAAGATAAGACATCTTAGGTATAAGAGAGCTCTTTTTCTTCCCTGCTATTGCCTCTTCTACTCTTCCCCCATTCTTATTATGTTCCACCAGGACTTGGTCACTCACCTCTTACGGCTTCCCAAATTAAGACCCATGTGAGAAGTTTTTGCCTCTCCAGAAAGTCTCTAGTCATCTCTGAAGCCCCACTGATATTAGGTGGCTCTATATCAGTGGTTCCCAAACTATGGGTTGCATCAGCAGAGGGAGTCATGGGGGTGTGGGGCATGGGCTGGGAGTGAGGGGCCATGTTGAGGAAATGGGGCCATAAATGGGGTCATTTTGAGGAAAAGTTTGGGAGCAGTCAGAAAAGCACTGCTCTACATAGTCTAAGAATTCGACTATGCAGATATGTTTGCAGAATTCGAGCCTAACTGATCCACAGGGGAGGTGGAGGAGAGGGGAGTGGGAACTGACTATGCACAAAGAGCTTGCAAATGCACAAACAAGTATTTTTGGGTTGAATTTGAACAAAATCAGAGAGACTTTAATTGATGGAATGTATTTGTACTTAAAACTTTAAGAAAAATATATTTATAAAATCACAATTTAAATGTCACCCTGAATTAGGGAATAGAAACATAATACACTTTTTTGCTTCTTTATAATGCAAAAAAGCATTATAATCCTGTCATTGTTCAACATTAAACAGATATGATTCAGGGTTTTTAGTGCAGTGACTTCAGCCTGCTTATTCCCGTGACTAACATAAATAAAAATCTCTATAGCCTTTATTAGAGGTGCAGAAAAGGAAGTAAAAAAAACTCCTATGAAAACAAGCATCTGAAGTGAAAATTACCAATAAGGCATTCATTTTAACAACATCTCTTCCCTTTAACTGGAGAAAGATTTTATAGGGGGGAACCTAACAGTCTTTAAATGATATTAAAAGAGTGGGGTTGAGGTGTCCTTTTGGGTAAAAGAGAAAACCTTTAATCCAGATGGGCTGAACCTGCTGGTTCTGATGCTGGTGTTGGACTCTGGCCACACAAGACATACGCACAGAAGAAGAGAAAAAAAAGCAGAGAGAGAAAACTACAATTTTCTTTCTGGTGCTGACTTTTAATTGCAACAGCAATTTTGCAACTAGACAGAGACAGACTCAACACACATCCCAAGCACTATTCAACTTGACTGAAGCCAACACAGGTGGAATATCACCAAGTCGTCTTCCAGTCTTGTTCTGTCAAGTCATTTCTCATGACCGGGATGAGGATCCCATGGTGGGATCCCTGGGTCCTAGGAGGTGGTATGTGTGGAAGCCATGATAATAAACCTTCCAGTCTACCTGTTCTAGCATTGGGGTTAATTTATGGCAGGGGCGGGCAATTATTTCGGGCGGAGGGCCACTTACCCAGTTTTGGCAGGCTGTCGAGGGCTGCATGGGTAGCCCCACCCCCTGACAGGGGCCCCGCCTCCTGGTCACCATTTTGGGACTAATGTCCCAATGTCTTGGGACCAATGTCCCAGGGCCAGCACCGGTGGGGCCCAAAGCGGGGCACAGGCTGGCAGGGGTCTGTGGAGCCAGGCTGGGCTGCACAAGCAGGGAGAGGTGGGGAGCTGGTGTGGCTCCACAGTGCCCCTGCCAGCTGGGACCCCACGCTCTTGCCACCCTGCTCTGGACCCCGCTGGTACTGGCCCCCGGACACCGGTGTGGGCCCTGTGTTCCCGCTGGCTCCCGTGCCCACTCACACCCAGTGCCCCCCCAGCCCTATGGTACAGGCAGTGCACAGCCCCGACCCCCTACTCGCCAGCAGGGAAAAAGCTGGTGCTGAGTGCAGGGAAAAGCGGGAACATGGGAACATTTTTGACAGGAACCAAGGGCAGATAAATATTAATTTTCTAAATTTTTTAGGGGCCCCACGAGCCAGATAGAATGGCGTTGCTGGCCAGATCTGGCCTGCGGACCATATTTTGCCCACCCCGACTTACGGACACCTAGAAGAGGGCAGAAGAGTCCTTCCTGTCAGAATGCTGTTTACCAATTTTGGTCTAGTTTCTGACATGCTCATTTTTCGTTCACTGATTTCAGGTTACACACTCTTCTTGTTTACCAGATGTGATCTCAGCACAGTCCTTTTCTGTTCAGACTAATGCAGCTTCTGCCTTTAACTCTTGCTGATTTTTATAAAATTGAATTCAATAAGATGAACTGGACTTTTTGTTATGTTGGATAATTCTGGATAAAAGCTTCTATGCAACACACCCCAGAAAATAAGGCATATAAGAATTTGTATTTAAAGGTTTAGGAAATGTTCAGGGAAACAGACCTTCTTAAAAAAACTTTCAGACCTTTTTTTTTAAATACATTGTAAAGCAAGAAAAGATCAAGTAAACTTTTATTTTTTTAAAACCCACCTGTACCTGTCCTGCCAATATCCATGCCTCAGAATTCGACATAGTGCACTACTGATGAGACTAATACCTGACACAGTAAAAATTGCAGTACCTTCCACTTCCAAGCACTACTGATCTCAAAGACAGTAGGGGACAGACCCATGACTGACTATTTTTGTCAAATAAAAAGCTTTTCAATCCTCCTTTAAAACACATTTTGTTCTAACATTTACCTTAATATTTCCCTGTTTCAGATTTCAAACAAGATTGCACGTTTTATTTGGGAAAACAAATCAACTCACAAAAATCAGTAAAATGTATTGATGCTGACAAGTCTAATTCAGAACAGAAAGGCTGACAGATAAGCCAAACTATGAAGGTGACACAAGGGAGAAAGGTGTGGCAAGTTGTCATTCTGCCCCATGGCCCTTGTTGAGCAAACAAATGGAAATCAAAGAAGAAAAAAGGTCCTGTGTGAAGGGCCCAGTTAAAGTATATGTACATGATTCTCCCTTAATCCACCACAGCAGGACTTAAATGAGTTGCAAGAGATGTGTGGGCATTGTACCAGGTTGGACAAATACATGAGGTCCATCAGGTGAAATCCCAGCATGACTCTCCTATTTAGAGTTAGTCTCCCAAGGAAAATAGCAAAAGCTAGTGTTATGATTGCTGAAAAATGACATTAGACAAACCATCAGGGAAAAAATGTAAGACCTCTTCCTGACTGGATTTATAGTCTAGTTCATTTCTAATGTTTGATTCTGTGGTTTAAGTAGCTACTGACTCTGTATGCATCCTACCTCACCCAGGCAGCCTTCTTTCACCATATATTTCCTGACATGATTCCAGATGCGACTCTTGGTCAGCAGGCTGCCTCCAGTGACCTGTTCAAACTTTTCATAGCTTCCATATTTCTGCAAAGTCCGTTCCATAATATTGATGGACTGGGGAGAAAAAAGCGAAAGAGACAGAAATACAATAAGACACCAGTTTTAGACTGGTGACTACCACAATGGGACAAATGGCAGTTTCCGCCCTGCATCCCAATGCATGTATGTGTCATTGAACTACAGTTTTTATGGGTAGGCCAATATGCTCTGTAACCAACTCCTGTCACCCTCAGAGATCTGTACAAATTCAAATACATTGAAAAAAGAGTCTGATTAATTAATTTTGGGCCCAGCATACTTAGTTCCCTATGACTTTGGGAAAAACCACTTGATCTCTTTGTCTTATTACTTAACCTGTGAAAATAGGGATGATAATGCTTCCTCAGCTAACAGAGATGTTCAAGGGTTAAGTTATTAGCATATTCCCCATCCCCACATGGTGCACAGCCCCCACTGCCAGTAGCTCAGCAGCAACAGATGGTGGGTCCTCAGGGTGCTCATGGCCATGGCAGGCAGAGTCCCTGGCAGCACACGGCTTCAGCTGAGTCCCAGGGGCTGCACATGGTAGCACAGAGCCAGCCTGGTCCAATCCGCTTGGGTGCACCTTGAGACCAGACCAGGCTGGTTCCATGCTAAAATGTGGGGCTTGGGGCATTGCAGGTGGGAGCCATGCACCAACTGGCCAAGCCAGCTCCGTGCCTTCATGTCAGGTTTCCAGCACTCGAACAGGAAGCCACACATGGAGGTATGAAATTGCGCGCCATTGGGTTGGGTGGGCTCTGTGTCTCCACATGCGGCTTTTTGCTGGAGTGCTAGAAGCCCCACGTGGAGGAACAGAGACAGTTGGCCTGGCCCAGTGGCGCACAGTCCACACCCGCCCACAAACCCCACAGCCACCCACAAACCCCATGCCCCCTCCCCCAGCAGGCAGGAGCTCCCCTCTCCACATAACAGCTGTCCAGTCATGTGCCACCATGCTCAGTGCCTCCAGATGTGACTCCCAGCTGGACTGCTGGGAGCCCCACGGAGTTGGAGGCACAGAGCCTGCCAGGCTTATATTATGCAAAATTATATAATTATGCACGGTCATGTCTTTTATGGCCAAAATTGCTCAGGCTCATAACTGCATATATATATAAATAAAATATATAGATGTATATAATAGGATGACAGTGCATGCTGCAACTTGATTATTGTGATGCTGAAAGGAACCTGTTTGCTGTCCATGGGTGCATACACACACATTAACTTTCTGACAGTTAAGCAGCTTAACTATTTTAAGTCGACTTAACTGTCAGAGTGTGCACACACATGAGGAGCAGAGTCGACTTAAATGCGGTGCAAGATAATATACCTCCAAGGTGTATTATCTTGAGTTGCACTAGTTAAGTCGACTTAGCTCACAAGATGTCTGCCACCATGTCACAGAGCTGTATGTGTATATGCTCGAACATGGCTTAACTTAAGTCGACTTGGTTAAGTTGACTTTGTTGCGTCGCCTTATTTTAAGTCAACTGTGTGTTGTGTGTACATGCCTCATGAAACAGAATTAATAACCCCACAGAGCTGCTGACAGCTTATTTTAATTGTATTTTTAACTAAAACTAGGCAACCACAGACAAGTGCCACTGGAATACATTAATGCTATTCACAAGGTGTCCTATCTAAGTATCGTAGCTCCTGGCTGAAAGAGACATGCATTCTCCGAATGCTGAACAAATATTCCATGTCATTCTTGATAGTTCCCTATTACCTAGCTTAGAATAACTTAATTAAATCCCGAGCACCTCCTGAAGAAGCCAAGGGCTCTATTCAACTTGAATGTACAGCAGTATAGTTCAGCAAATTTAATTTTGAATAAAAATAATGGATTTAATGAATTAATTTCATTTTGTACATAGGTCTGGGAGCAAAGGATCTGTCTGCTACCTGTAATTACCATCTTTCTCCCCTTATACTCCTCTGTACATGATTTACTGTATGAAATTGTTATTTACCAAGCTGCTTTTAAGTGAAGTGAGTGGGGGTTGCACTAGCTAGCTCCTGCTCCCATAGAAGCCAAGGGGAGTTTTGCCACTGACTTCAGTGGGAACTGAATTGGGTTTCAACGTCAGTGAATAAAAATTGATATTTTAATTCTCAAAACAACTGTTTCTTGGAAGATCTGGGATGACGTATATGAATATGTACAGCATGAACTAGGAAAAACATGAACAGGCATAAGCACTTGTGAAGAGAATGGTCTCAAGGCATATATGTTATGAGCCTGACTCAAAGCCAACTAAATTCAAAGAGAAGTCTTCCCAATGACTTTGGAGGGTTTGGGGATCGGCTCCGTTATGAATACACAGTAGCAATTAAGTTGAATGGATAAGAAAAGTTCTGAGATACTATTCAACATTAACAAATGAGCAATTTAGTTCAGGTTGGATCAATTTGCTTAATTTAAAAATAACCTCAGATAAATGATATAGTAACTCCATTCTATTTACATGTTAACAGGAGTTCCTTAAATGGAGGAATAATTTGATTTCTTCTCACAGACCAGATCTGTATGATAAAGCCCATTTTTTTCTGGTTCAATTCTTCCTTGGGCAGAGGGGTCAGCACAAGGCCTATTTATCATGGTAAGTTTCAAGTAGAACCGAAGAGGTACACTGTTATTGTGTAACTGGGCAAATTTCCCTTTCTCTGTTTGGACTTCTTCCCTTACATAAGGGAACCTAACCTTTATCGAATTCTGCTTCAATGAAAATTTCAGGCTTTAACATGTCCCAGGATTAGTGCGGATTAGTGACTAAGTGCAAAGACAAAATCTAAGCAACTATTAGTTCTAAATTAACAGGTGATTTTAACAGTCATGGAAATCTTGTGTTTCCTCAAAATGTATTTCAAAACTAACTTAGTGGCCTAAGGCTGAACTTGTTCTAACAATCATTTCATTTAATATAGGTGGTGTTCTTTGATCACCGTGCAGATTCTGATGTGTGAACATCCTATTCCTATAAATTGCTTATAAAAAATACATTCCTTATTAGCTACAGGAGTACAGTTTGCTCTCTGTGAATAACCTGAATAATTCAGAACAATTCTTCAGTTTCTTTTACAATTACCAGATCCTTTAAGATCGTGTCACCTATTCATTGTTATGTGTATCTGGTTTCCCTGAACCAATTAATTTTATTATTTCATTTAAGCAAAGTGTGTCTCAACATTCTATCCCCTGACATGACATTTTCTTCATTGAATTTCCTTGTCTTAAAAGCGGTGAAGTCCATTAGATAAGCACATGCAACTAGGCATCTATTTATGTTTCAGTCTCTTTGCATATACATTCACAGTGAAACAATAGCCCATAGACTCATGTTCTACTTCCCAACCATTTTTTCTTCTCTCTCCCTTGCCTGTACAGTTCAGTTCAACTTCACTTCTCAATAATTTATACTGGAAAGATGTTACTAAAGTGGAATTAAGATGTTGGAAATAGAGATCTAAATTAAATTTAACAGAGCTCTGGTAGGTGAAATTACTGTATCAATTCATCATTAAGGCTAGGTAGAGAAGTTACACTTAACATGTGTTAAGCACGCAGAAAGCACTTTAAAGCCATAACAGAACAGACATTCACAGCACTTAAAGCACTTTAAAATGGCAGATTCTACTCTAAGGGCACCAGTAAATATGGTACAATGCATTCTCAACTGTTCCCCTGCATGGCGGAAAGGAAGAAATCTGAGACAAACCAATTATGAAGACTTAGGAAATCCAGCCAAAGAGCCCAGAGGCCTAAGGGCCTACAAAGGGGCCAAGTCCAGATAGGGTCAGAGTGCGAGACCAGAGCGGGCAGGGGCTAAGAATGAGACCAGTGGACCTGGGAATTCAGGAAAGAGAGAGTGGGACCAGAGGATCCAGGCCCAAAGAGGGGCAGAGTGTGGGACCAACCAGAGGGTCCAGGCCCAGAGAGGGGCAGAGTGTGGGACCAACCAAAGGATCCAGGCCCAAAGAGGGGCAGAGTGTGGGACCAACCAAAGGATCCAGGCCCAAAGAGGGGCAGAGGGTGGGACCAACCAGAGGGTCCAGGCCCAGAGAGGGACAGAGTGTGGGACCAACCAAAGGATCCAGGCCCAAAGAGGGGCAGAGGGTGGGACCAACCAGAGGGTCCAGGCCCAGAGAGGGACAGAGTGTGGGACCAACCAAAGGATCCAGGCCCAAAGAGGGGCAGAGGGTGGGACCAACCAGAGGGTCCAGGCCCAGAGAGGGACAGAGTGTGGGACCAACCAAAGGATCCAGGCCCAAAGAGGGGCAGAGGGTGGGACCAACCAGAGGGTCCAGGCCCAGAGAGGGACAGAGTGTGGGACCAACCAAAGGATCCAGGCCCAAAGAGGGGCAGAGGGTGGGACCAACCAGAGGGTCCAGGCCCAGAGAGGGACAGAGTGTGGGACCAACCAAAGGATCCAGGCCCAAAGAGGGGCAGAGGGTGGGACCAACCAGAGGGTCCAGGCCCAGAGAGGGACAGAGTGTGGGACCAACCAAAGGATCCAGGCCCAAAGAGGGGCAGAGGGTGGGACCAACCAGAGGGTCCAGGCCCAGAGAGGGACAGAGTGTGGGACCAACCAAAGGATCCAGGCCCAAAGAGGGGCAGAGGGTGGGACCAACCAGAGGGTCCAGGCCCAGAGAGGGACAGAGTGTGGGACCAACCAAAGGATCCAGGCCCAAAGAGGGGCAGAGGGTGGGACCAACCAGAGGGTCCAGGCCCAGAGAGGGACAGAGTGTGGGACCAACCAAAGGATCCAGGCCCAAAGAGGGGCAGAGGGTGGGACCAACCAGAGGGTCCAGGCCCAGAGAGGGACAGAGTGTGGGACCAACCAAAGGATCCAGGCCCAAAGAGGGGCAGAGGGTGGGACCAACCAGAGGGTCCAGGCCCAGAGAGGGACAGAGTGTGGGACCAACCAAAGGATCCAGGCCCAAAGAGGGGCAGAGGGTGGGACCAACCAGAGGGTCCAGGCCCAGAGAGGGACAGAGTGTGGGACCAACCAAAGGATCCAGGCCCAAAG